GCCATGGACGACCTGCGGGTCCTGTGGATGCGCGACCGCGTCTACAACGCCTTCGGCCTCAGGGACCCTCAGCTCTTCGAGGAGCTGCTGAACCGCAACGACGGCGAGGTCGAGGAACTCATCCTGCACTTCCTCAACCAGAGCAGCGACGAGGAGGGCGCCTCGACTCTCTTCTTCTACCGCAAGGTGGTGCCCGAGGAGGTGGAGGTGGAGATCGGTGAGCTCCGCGGCCGCCCTTCCGCCGCGCCCCTCCTGTCCTGTTCCCTCCGCGCGGGGAACGCAGACCCCAGCCCACCCGCCAACCTTGGCCTCCGGTGCAGTCCGGAAGTGTTTATCGTCGCCCACCGCGTGCAGGCACTGTCCAGGCACTGGGTGAACTGGGCAGGCGCTCACAGCCCACTTGGAAAGTCCGACCTTGAATAAATAATCACAGCAAACAATTAGCTCTTACTCTGTACCAGGTACAGTTCCAAACGCTTACATCAACTTGTTAATCCCATGAAGTGGATCTATTGTTACCCCCATTTTACAGATGAGCAAACTGACACAGAGAGGGTTAAATGGCTCACCCGCAAGGGTCACATAGTCAGTAAAGACTCGGAAGAGTCTGCGTCACTGTCCAATGAAGTGCAAGAGACGGACAGAGAAATGGCTCCGGGTCTGAGAGGGACACTTCATCCTCACTCTCCCTGATGGTGGCAGGGTCTCTCCGGGTGGAGAAGAGCACCTCTTCCTGACTTTCCAGGCCCCTGACGACATGGTATTGTCAAGTAACGCCAAAACAAAGGTTTAAAATATCACAGTGGATTTTAAATGTTTACGTTGAACATTTTAGCATTTCAGATAAAAATGACAGTGACTGGATGCTCAGGACCCTCAGTGGAGGTGGCTAGTCCAGCCCAGGGATACAGAGAGGGCCTGGGGTGCAGGTGGGAAGACAGGACAGGGTGCAGGGACACTCAGAAAGGTGCCTGTTGGGGAAGGAGTCCGGGAAACAGGCCAGTTCTCTCCCAGCAGGAGCACTGGGTCAGCACAGTTGTCTGGGAAGGCGTTTGTGTGGTGTGAGCCGTCAGTATCAGCCCCCGGTGCTAGTCTCGCGGCATCTTCATGAGGCTTCCGGATCCCCTAGGGCCTTTCACGGGGTGGGATGGTGGTGCCAGGCAGAACTTCTTGTTTTCCTTAACAAGTAGTAGGCACATTCATTTATTTTAAATACACATCCTTGGCACAAAATAATACACATGTTCATTGTAAAACAATACAAACCCACAAATAACAATAACAAATTGCAAATGACACCCAGAGAGATGACCCTCATATCATCTTGAACTCTAGCATTCTAGTTTTTTCTCCCCCCCCCCCCGCTTTTTTCCCTTAACGGATGCACTAGGCGGGGAAGGGTATAGCTCAGTGGTAGAGTATATTTCTAGCATGCAGGAGGTCCTGGGTTCAATCCCCACTAACTCCATTAATAAATAAACCTGATTATCTTCCCCCCCCCAAATAAATAAATTAAAAGAAAAACAAAATACAGAGGTATTGGGGATTGAACCCAGACCTCCTACATGCCAAGCACGTGCTCTTCCACTGAGTTATACCCTCCAACCCCCTCTAGTTTTCTTATGGTTTCCCCTCTGACAGACCTTTGGACTCAGAAGTTACATTACAATAGGATCTTGAATTTTTTTAAAAGTTTATTTATTTAATTAATTAATTTTTTGGTGGTGGGAGGTAATTAGGATTATTTAATAGTTATTTATTCTTAGAGGAGGTACTGGGGATTGAACTCAGGACCTCATGCATGCTAAGCATTGGCTCTACCACTTGAGCTATACCCTCCCCCTAACAATAGGACCTTGAATTTAGACTCTTTCATTATTGCCAAGTGAAATTGTGGGTACAAAGACACTAACAGGATTGACTATTTTACACGTACCAAACTTCAGTAACCCTGGTTTTGTATACTTAAAAAAAAAATATATATATATATATACCAAGGCCCTAAGAATGGATGTGGCTTGGACTTCTTGCGACCTCTGAAGGCTTCCCTTAGCAGTTCGGTGGCTGTTTTCTGTGCTGTGTATACTAACACGTGTGTAGCCCAATAGTTTCACTTAATTCCTCCAAAGCGAGCTTGGAAATCCCCCGAGGGCTGTGTCTGGTTCAGGTCTGTCCCTACACCCTCCTCCCCCGATTCTTCCCTCCTTTTCTGGCTCTTCTCACTGTCACCGCACCAGGAGGATGCCAACGTATTCCTTGCTAAGGATGCTGTCCCTGGAAACTCAAAGCTGCCGATCCTGGAGGCACCAGAATGAGGTTGGGTGTTGGGTTCTGAACAGAGGTGGGGAGAGGGGACCTCCTCCCCAGCTCCGTGTGTCACATTGTCACTTACCGTCTGCTCAGTAAGGCTCACGAGGACACTTGGACAGTTTTACTGGATCCTTGTTGGGGTCTCTGGTGTGTCCAAGGGACCTGGAGTGGGGCCAATGCATGTTCCTTTATCCCTCTTTCCTATTTCTGCCCCTCTGCTGGTAAAGACTTCTCTCTGCTCCGGTTAAAAATGACACAGATGGAGACAAATAGGGAGGATGGTTGCGAGGAAAGAGCGGTGTCCAGACTAGCTGTAGCCAGAACAGGTGCTGTTCTGGAATGTAAGCACGTGTTGTTTCTTGAAATAACAAAATGGAATCACACTGTATATATCACTTAATAACTTGCTTACATTTTTACACAGTGATTTTTTTAAAAATTGCAAAATCACACAGTAGTTAAAAAATTACACAATATTAAGACATCAATATTTCCAGGAAGTATTATTGGGAGATGTTCTCTTAAAAGTTCACATAATATAGAATTCAGTAAAAAGTGAGAAAGCAATTCTTCACTCTCCCCTAAGCCCTGCTCCTACTTGTAGCCGCTGTTGGTGGTTTGGTGTATATCCTGCCAAGTCTTTTTCAAAATCAATTGATCTGTTTATCTATCTGTCTATCTACCTACCTATCTATCTATCTATCTGTCTATCTGTCTTCTATCTGTCGGTCTGTCTATGTGTCTATCATCATCATCATACAGATCTACATAACTTTGTAGATTTTAAGTCTATAGATGTACCATGTTTTATTTATCCACTTTCTAATGAATGGACATTTATCCTTCCACAGAATTTTATTTTACAAACAACGTAACAATGTGCATCTACCTTTGTACACTTTCTGTATTTCTGTGGAATAGATTTATAAAAGTGGAACAGCGGGTTGAGTGGGTGTGTGCAAGGATGTC